AACAGAAACAAAGTGATGTATTTTATTTTGCATTGAATGAAACAGTTTTGCTTTTGAAGAAAAAAAAAACCTGCCTTTTTCTTTTCCTAGTGAAAAAACCCACTATGGTTTGCATATTCTAATTATTTTGTATCCCTTTCTTTCATGAAGAGGCAAAGATGAAACTCCCCTGAGCTGTTCATGACTTCCCAAAAGTTCAGTTTAGCTCCTATCATCTTTTTTTTCCCCCTTCTCTTCTCTAAATTTCCCCTCTGGTCTGCTCCTGTTTTGCTGTCATGCTGCCTTCTTCCTAATGTTCTTTTGAAGTAAATTTAGTGGGAAAGTGAAGACATCACTAAGAACAAATGCAGAGTGAGGACACTGACTTATTTTAATACACAGGCTCAGATCTCCATCATATTGAGTGATTTCTGAGGGACTGCAAAATCTGATACTGCATGTACACAGATAGCTCAATTTTAATGTGCACAGATAGCTCAATTTTAAAAGAAAAATTAGTGTTTGAGTAGAAATTTGCACTCGGCTCACAAAAAAGGAAGAAATAATCCAAATGAGAAATCTATCTTGTTAGCTCAATTTCATTTCTTCCAGATCAAGAGCAGCAATTGTGTGCTTCCCTTGTTTACAAGGCAGTGGAAGGAACCAGGTCACCCTCAGTGATGTGAGCTACAATTAACAGATCAGTGGCCACTTCCCATTAAGCAAAGCCACAGTTCTGTGCTGGGCTGATATTTTATTCCTTTATGGTAACCAGCACAGTGGATCTTTAGTCACTGCAGGTGTGTCCTGCCAGGTACAAAGCTGTGTGGCAGAAATAGGTGTGAGCAGAGGGCCTGAGCTGAGCCCTTGCACACCCCCAGCCCTCCCAGCAGCCAGGTCCTCCTGCTCCACTGTGCAATTACTCACCTTGTTCCACTTCAGTGCCCTGTGTATATTCCTAATGATTCACTGTATGACTAAGTAGAACAAATCTCCAATGACATAAAATGCAAAACGTACATTTTAATCAGTAACATATTTAGATATCTGCTGAGTGTATGTTTATGAGAAAGTTATTTATTTCTAATCACTGAGAGGTGCTCTAGTGGAACTAATTGTGATAGATTATTTTCTTGGCTCTAACAATTTATCTGATGAACTTAGGCTGCATTTATTCCTTTGTCAGTGGAGTTTGTCTGGACTTCTCTAAATATGTGTATTATTTGTAATTGTTTGCCAAATTGCTTTACCAATGGTTTTTGGTTTTCAGATTATTTGTGAGCTGTTTGCAGCCCAGTAGTTGTCTGTTAATAGGAGAGCTATGTAATTTTGTTTGGATTATTCATGTAGTCTAGAACTGGATGAGCGAGACTTTTGATGTGATCTTCAGCCATAATGGATTCAAATTTTGCTTTTTATGGGTACTTATTGATTCACTTGTGTTTCATGGCTGCTTCCTTTGTTGTGCCAATATATAACTACTAAATTTATTTATGGAAAGCAAGCATAAACTGGACATGAATATAAAAAGCTTCTTCTGAGCTTGGGGATTTTCTGTGGGGGGGAATGATCAGGGAATTAAAAATAAATGATAGGCAAATATTTATACTTCAAGAATCCTTCACTGACACTGGAACACACAAAACATAGATATAGGTGTCTTTTTAAATAAGTGGACAATGTCCCTGGTAGTTTTACACTCAGAATTCCTGTTGGCTTTCACTGGAAATTGGCTGAAGGTTGAGTATAAAAATAAAAGGTCACCAGTAGTCACAAAGTCATAACTATTACAATTTGTCATTTAACAACTTGAGAAACATTAAAGTAATGAATTCCCAATTATCCTTTCCTAGTAAATGCATTTTTGACATGATAAGAGCATCATGTAAGAGTCAAATGTGTGAATCTAACCCAGATAAGAAAAATAGCTGACACCTGGGCACTGGAAAACAAAAAGCTAACTTTTCCTGTAATGTAATTAACTCTTGAAACAGTTAAGGTTTATTTGAATGGGGAAACATTACAAGATAACTTTATTCTTGTCATTGGATCATTTTTACCTTTGTTTGAGAGGTGTCATATTTGATAGAAACCAATTAGAACTGAATTTGATCTTGCAAATTGTTCATTTAATCTTTAGTTTTCATTCATCAGTCTAGAAAATAAGGTAATTGGAATGCATAGTGAACATGAATTAAGTGATGTATATTATAGGAATGTTTGAAATTTGTTTAATAATTTTACATATTTCAGCCATCAGGAAGTATCTTCAAATACTTTGACAGCTGTTATTATTTGACATATATATTTCAAAATCTTGTTTATTCCAAAACTGAGGCCTTTGTGCTGTTTTACAGACCTGTATTTCACTCTCCTTGCTTTTATAGACCATGTTAATGGTGGTGTGGCCATGATGGTCTGAGATATATGAGACGTAATTACAAAAGTGCAGTTGAATGTCAGTGGATACCTAATAGGAGTTTAAAATATTGTCATGGCACAATGATGTACTTACTGCATGATACTTATGCAGTAAAATCAAAGCTAGCTTTAGTAGGAGTTTGGGACCATGTTTTCAAATTTCAAGGATCTCTTGAGACTAGGCAAATACTCTTCAAAGGGGACCAGCAGTTCTTCCCAGCTCTTAAATGGGCCCTTGCATTGGTTCAAAAGATTCAGCACAGAGGAAGAAACAAACAGACAGCTATGCCAAACCAGTTACAGACCTGTTACAAAATTAGTGAACTTCCCCCATCTTTTGTAGTGCTTTTCCTCATTTATTTTTTCCTTACTTTTTCTGCTTTGTAGGTTCTATATATATCACTGTTTGCCCCTGAGAGTACATAAAGATTCAGTCCTGTGCTAAAGGTCAAAAGAACATGAACATTGTTCTTCTCTTAAGCATACACTGGACACAAAACCCAACAGAATTGAATGAGTGGTGGACTGAGGAAATTTCAGAATTGCATGGATGAAGTGGTGAGGAAAAGTATTTTTAGATCTTCTAAGAGTGCAAAAAAGTTCAGATGAGCTGGAGGCATCTCTCCCAGAACACTATCAGCTGCCCTGATCTGTGAAACAGGGTTTGAGAGGCAATTCCAGGCTTTCAGCCAGCTTGTGCCTTCCTGAACCCACGCCAGCATTTGGAACCTCTGCTTTGTAGGGATATGACACACTCAGCCCTGCTGGAGTGGGCCTGGGTGCACAGACAAGGACACTCAGTCTACAGGAGCAGAAAACCTGGACAAGGCCATGATGGGCAGCCTGTTTTCTAGGGAGCAAATTCCAGACTGGTAATGGCTGAAGAACCTGTCCATGCCAGGAAATGTTATGCCTCTGTCTAATGTGTGAGAATCCAGGGAATTTCTTCTTTCCTGGCAGTTACCTGGATGGCAGAGTCAAAACTAGGTGTGAATGCTCGGGAACACTCAGATGAGCTATACCTGGCTCCAGCTCCCTCTGCTCTTTGATCTGCAAGGTCCATCCAGTTTTGTCAGTGAGGGACTCAAACCCTTCTGCCTGCCTTTTCAATGGTTACCAAAAACTGCTGTCTCCCCAGTATTGCCAGTTGTGCCTCTCTAGTTCTGGGCTGTGTTTACATGTTCCTCACAGTGAATAAGGCTGAAGCCAGCCCAGACAGGCAGGATTTTAATGGTCCATAGACTCCAGGCACATCATATTCCCTCTGATTTCCCTATTGCATTGGTGTCATAGGTTGATATATTGCAGTCAGTTTTCTTCTTAGTCATTGCTGGAGCCCTCCAGTCTGGTACTGCCATCGCTGAACGGGAGCTGAGCTCCCACATGGATAGAGCATTCTGTCCTGCACCACATGGCATGCAACTGCAAGAGTGGTGTATGGATTTATGATGCTGTGTTTTTCCACTCAGGAATACCCTCTAGGAATACCTTGGTATTTCTAGGAAGCCCCAGCTGGTGTTAAATTATAGCTCTATTATATGGCAATGGCACCAATTATAGGGTGGTTACTGGAAGCAGAATTTATGCACTTGTTAATGAATCAGGGCACCACCAGTATATTACCAGAGTAGGGGGGTAATATATCCATAACCAAACTTCTCTTTGAGCCAAACAACAGTCAGACCTACAAGCTTGGTTGATTTTTATGTCAGGCTGGGTACACCTTTTAAAGCACATAGAACAGCTTTGCATTCTGAATAGCTGTGTTGGTCACAGAAAAGTAACCCAGGTCCTTCAGTCTCTTCACATTTTGAAATTAAACATATACTGCATTTTATTATATGGATATTTATTTCTTATAGTGCTTTCTTGAATTTTGTTTTTGTATCCTGGAATATCAGTATGTGTTTTCTAGTAGCTGTTTTCTGTAATACAAATCATGGAGTCACATCAACAACGAAAATTCATTTTTCCTCTTATTTGTATTCAGCTCATGAGTGGTAAAAATAGGTTTGAGAGATTCACATATAATGTTCATCAGATCTTAATGAATGTGTGAAGTGATTCCATCACAAATGTGTACTTATAACTTCTGCACAAGGTCAGACTTTGTCAGTATTGATTTGGAACAGAATTAAAATGCCAGAAGTTGTCCAGTTTATCATCAAGCTGCTGAAACCATCTCCTCTCTGGTATTTCAACAAAGAAGCCTCAGGCAATCACAGTAATTATTCAGAAAAGCAAATCTCAACTACTTTTAAATGCAAAATTCTCTGTCCTAGCCAAATGACTGTTAGCAAGGGATTACAGCATTATAAAACATACTTTGCCCTTCCTTATGCATGAATCAATCTTGTTTACATCTGACCAAAAGAGAAAAACAAAGAAAAAAATTCAGTCAAAAATTCTAGAGATCAGGTTCCAATGCACAGCAGCAGATGTCAATAAATACAAAATAATTCAACAGTGTTCAATAATACCTAGTTTTTAGCTGAAGCTTCTTATGAGATAAATCAATACACTCCAATAAGACCAAATTTTTTTCTATGATAACCTTCAAGTGATTTCAGGTAAAACCAAATAACAAAATCTTCACCTACCTGAAATAATCTTAAACCTGGTAAGAGAAGATTTTTTCTTTCAAACTCAGAGGCATAGGTTTGAAAGAACATGAGCAAACTAGAGAGTTAAATGTGGGACTCTCCCTTTTTTCACTGAAGCAAGTCTTCTTACATGCTATCTGTGTTGCTGAGATAAAAATAAATAAATAAAAATAGAATGTCAGGGCAAGGAAAAAACTTGTCAGCCATAGCTTGCTCCTGCTACAAGATAAGGCAGAGAGGAACAAACTACAGCAGAGTAGACCTGGAGGGCCAGGTTCCATGGCAAGCAACAGTTTGCACCTCCTAATCCTGCTGGTTTTTTAAAGGAGGTCTTACCTCCTTTAGGAGGTAAGACTTGATGATCAAGTCCTTGTCTTCAAGGAAGGGCTTAGAGCAGGGATCTGACTGGAATTGAAATGCTAAAGCTGTAGTGAGGAGCAGTCTATATGGATTTAAGACATATGGCTTGACATCACTTGAGGCTGGATTCTCTGTTTACAGTAAGGGACTCTTGCAGATCATGTTCTGCCTACAACAAGTCCCAGCTCTCTTTGGCCACGGTGCAGTGCAGTACCCAAGTCCTCCGTGCCCAGGACAGTCTGCTGTGGAGCACTGCCCTTCTAATGAGGCCAGGTCTCCTACCTGGTAGCACTCTACATCACTCAACTGACTAGTTCATTCAGGTTTAAATGGCCCTTCTGCCTGAATAGAAGTGTTGGCTGCTGTCTTCATCTGTCATGGCCATCTGCTCTACTCTTTTTTTCTTCTCAGCATGACTAAAGTAACTTAGATATGAGAACAGATTGCAGGACACACATTAACCTCTTTAGAGACCATAAGTGATCCCCCAGGAGTAGAGAGTTTACTGTTTAACTCTGATTCCCCTTCTCTTGCAAGCACACTTGCTATCTTATGACACTATTCCCACATCTGAGTGTTTCAGGCTTCTCAAAATAACTGCCCATCTAATTTTCTCTTTGGGTCACATTTTGCTTTCAGTTTTTACAGACTTCCCACTGATGTCAGTGAAAGCTATGTACACATACTAAGGAACATCATCCTAAATCAAATGTGTGTCATTAAAACAGAATAACATGCTATGACTTTTTGAGCTCTGTCATTGCACTCACTGAATGAACTTAGACATACACAAGATAACCATCTTAAGTACCTAAAAACACACACCCTTCCTATAAACATAAGTTGGTGGGGGTTAGTTGGATAAGATTTTAATCATACTATCAATGGCTCCTAAAAGCAGGTTTTACATAGAAAGATATAAGTGGAAATGTTTCTCTGTTTAGTGGTATTTTTTAAAAATAATATATAATTCCATATTTATTTACTTCATATGTCTAGAGTATAAGACAGTTGCTACAAAAGAATGTAGCAGATTTTTAAAAGTCCCCTCTTCGATTAGTTTATTATACTGGTAACACATTTGAAATATTTTAGTTGTTAGATGAACTTACAAGTTAACAGCCACACATTTCAAGTGCTTGAGCCTTTCTATACCTTGCCTTTCTGTAACACTCACATAATAAAAATTTGATCATTTGACAGTTTTGCTTTGGAACAGAACTTACAGGACTGAATTTTGAATTTGGGGATGTATTTCTGTAGTCAGACAACACTCAGAATCACACAAAGGTTACTGTGCTGATCATAAGAAGGTGGTTCTTCACTAGAACTCAGTTCATCAGAATCACCTTATATCCTGTTAGGAGCTAAAATCTTCTCCCAGATTTTCTGACAATGCCAAAATATACCCAACTCTTCAATTCCTTAGAGAAAGGTGGTGCCTTTGTGTTTATTCATATAAATTTTGCTAACTAGTACAACTATTGAAAAATACAATAGGTTAGCCAGAACTGAATCAAGCTGCAATATCAACAGAGATACATTCTGAAAGGGAAAAAAAACTATGAGAGCAAACAGATTCCTTTGACACTTGCCCAGAAGAAGACTTCCTTCACTGTATCTTCTTCAACTTTCCTTAGGGAAAAAAAAAAAAAAAAAAAAAAAAAAAAAAAAAAACACAAAAAAACAAAACAAAAAAAAAAAACCCAAAAAAAACCAAAAGGAGTAAAATGTGGTTTATATTTGAATTGAGAGATGAAGCTGCAAGAGACAGTATGGTTAGAAAATGGTCTTTCTTAATCTGGTCACTCACTGAGCATTCAAATAACCAGAGACACCAGCTGTTTTCTGTCCTGCTTTATGGTCTGACTCACAACCTTCTCTCCCATCAAGCAGTGCTTAACTACATGGATAAACCTATTGAATCCTGAGCAGGCAACCCCAGTGAAACTCCCTGTGCTGCCCCTGATAAGTGAAGAGTGCTGAATAGGACTCAGTTTACATTTTAGCATTGTTTTTACTTATTATCTAAAGTCCTACTTTTGTATCTCAGAGGAAGCCTAATATTTTTCTGAATGGAACAATTATTTTGTCAGCTTCCCACCAGTCAGCACCATGCAGAAACAACCAGGGCCTTGTATGTTCATCTGGGCAGAAGTTTCCAGGTTGAGTGCAGGCTCATAGCCCTGTTCCAAGCTGTCAAATTGTATCTATGTGTATCTATTTTAATCAAGGATCTCTGTGTTCTGTTTGCTCATAAATTTAATGCCTCTGCACTGAAAAAAATTAGAAATAATTTTTCTTCCTTGAAAATTAGTTTATAAGAAATTAGTAAGATAGGAATGACAGTGTTGAATGACAGAAGGAGGTTAAAATGGTTTGGGCAGCAAATATTTCTGTTTGTAGAATCAAGACCAGCATGAATTTGTCCCTGCCTGAGGGTGGTGGTTAATTTTGGTTAAAGATGTCAGTGTCTTTCTGTTGTGGCATCCCCAGTTGCATAGGAGGATCATAGTTCTCCCTCTTGCTGTGCCTCAGTGTAACCTTTGCTGAACTATCCAGCCCTCAGCTATTAAAGAACCACAGCCCTGGAGAGTAGGAGCACAAGTCCCCAAACTGCTTTGGTGGGTTTTTAGGGTTTGTTTTGGACAGCTGGTTTAGGTTTGGTTTGTAAAGTGTTTAGAAACCTTGTGATGAAATAGGTGACTGCTTCTCTTCTCCCAAGGGCTCAGAACCTCTGCAGCCAATGCAGGCACCACCAAAATTTGCAGGGTCACAGATTAAGCCTCTACCCAGGGAGATTTGTCTTCTGTTCTTGCCCTTCCTTCCCCTTCAGCCTATGTGACTTTTGGGTTCTTCTTTCCTTACTCCACCAGTGGCTGTACAGCTCATTTTGTTCCTGGCTGGTATACCTTAAATATTGTTTAAATATTAACAGAAAACCACCCCATTATATAGTTGAAAAAGCACATGGGAGAAAAATGATAGATCAGTAAAAAGGTCAGACTCTACCTGTCTTCTCCAACAGCAAGAGAGAGACAAATTCTGGCTCCTGCTAGCCACAATGAAGAAAGAAATTATCAGAGACCTCAGGTAATAAAAGCTTTTTTTTCCCACATGATTCAGCAAGAGCAGCAAAGGGTAGTCTGGCTTTCTGCCAGGCTAGCCCAGCAGCTCATGCCATGCTGAATTGGGAATCTTCACTATACAAGAGCAAACTTTCTGCCTCCCAGAGAGTCTCAGCATCCTGGCATCCTCTATTCACAGCAAACAGGAGTAACTGGGATTTTTCATATGGCCCAAGCATCAGAGAAAGGAGGTAATATAAATGTCTGAGGCTCAGGTTGGCAGCCTGGCATCAAAGTGAAAAGGGCTTCAGTCAGAAACCTGTTAAAATTTTACTGTAGGCACAGGATAATGTATCCCTGTGAAGATCTCATCCTGGTCTCTGCTAATTGCATTTCAGCTTAATCCCTAAAGCATGAGATTTTTTTATTCCTTACAAGGTTTGCTTATATTAACTATTCCAATGCCGGATATTCTTGGCACCATGCATGTTGTGATTCAGCCCTGGATTCTAGTAAATTTCTGAAAATAACTTCACCTTCATCCCTATTCCACCTGCTCTTCTCTTGGCAGTGTCCAAGGCTGTAGAGTTTGTGCAGAAAGCTGTGCTGACCTATTGACATCTTTCACAGAAAGGATTCTGCCTTTTACTGCAATTTGTTCATGGTAATTCAGCCTTCACAGAATCAGAGAATGTGCTGAGTTGGAAGAGAACCACCAGGATCATCAAGTCCAACTTCTGGCCTTGTAATTAATGTGTATTAGATTAAAATACTTTTTTCTATTGGCCCTACCTGATTAACACTTTTATTTATATATTTTAAAATATTTTTTTCTATAAAATTAATTTCCAAATCAATACTTCTGACATTCAATTTTGTTTAATAACATAGGCCAACACTTAATTAGTGTCTCATAATCATGTCAAAATCCTGCTAACACAGTAATATTATATGTGCTGAATGTTTTGTTGTTATCCTGGCTTGCTGAAAAGGAAGCCATAATAAACATCTTCTATAGTTAATATATGAATGTAAGGAAATTGAACTTGGACCCTATCATCTGGATACAGCTTTTGTGGAAACAGTGAGTGATGGTTATGTAAGTTTTCTGGGCCATCCAAATACAGTCATCCCTAAGGATGTACTAGAGTATGTGTGTACAAGGTCAGGATTAAAATGTCCTTACTAAGCCTCTCTTTAGCTCTATCACGTGCAGCTGTGTCTTGAAAAATACTTTGGACCAGAGACTGTATTTTTCCATTTGTTTTTGGAGAATCTGTGGGAACACTGCAAGCAAATGATAACAACTCCCAGTGAATCTCCTGCTTTTAGAATAGTCTCATGGGATTTTCCTACCATCTCATGACAATGATGTTGCCCTATTTATTGACTGACTGAGGGTATGTACCTTTTGGAAATGGCTGAAAGACTGCCCCAGCTGAACTCTAAACAGCTACTGTATATAAACTGCATTATAGGAGCTCCTAAAACTTGCATGTTCTCCCTACAGAAATAGGGCAGTGTAGCTGATAGAAACCAGTCCAGGATGGGTTGGCTTTGGTGTGTGCAACTTAGAGAATGTGATGTACAGGCACCAAGCAATTTTTTTGT